TATAACGTGGGGCTTTGGCTAATTTGACCTTTCTTGTATCACTCTATAAGCCGTCAAGTACCTTTTATAATGATAAAGGAAACGACTGTGCTGCTAAAAAAAAAAAAAAAAAAAACCCGCGAAATTTATGTTGTGAAAAAAATATTGAAAAGTGTAAAATATTCCCTTAAAATATGTTGCATTTTCGCTAAACTTTCAACTCAAAGGCCATAATTATTTTCCTACCAAAATATATCACCTAACACACACACACACACACACACACACACACACAGGTCCAATAAAGCATCAGTCAGATCACTCGAGGCAGAAACTGAGATTAATAAACACGACACAAAAACAAAGTCAGAATTATGGAAGGGGGTGAGGAGGCAGTTGTTATCACTAGGTCAGCAGAGTGACCGTCGGCAGGAGTGACCGTCAGCCAGGGAGTGACTGTCATCCAGGGAGTGACCGTCAGCCAGGGAGTGACTGTCAGCAGTGTCAGCCAGGGAGTGACGAGGGAGACCGTCATCCAGGGTGAGTCGGCAGGGGTGACCGTCATCCAGGGAGTGACTGTCAGCCAGGGAGTGACCGCCAGCCAGCCAGGAGTGACTGTCTCCAGTGACAGTGAAGGGAGTGACCGTCGGCAGGGAGTGACCGTCATCCAGGGAGTGACCGTCATCCAGGGAGTGACCGTCAGCCAGTCAGTACGTACCCGTCATCTCTCATCAGTCACAGGCAAGTTGTCTTATCACCCCGGGCCTCGTGGACAGATTCCTTCAGTTATAACGATCGGTACCACAGTCGCTTTACATCACCTGAACATTACACACCCTACTGTATATCACCCTAATATCCTAACGCTAACCTAACCTAACCTAACCTCACCTTAACCCAACCCATTCTTAATCTAATCTAACCTAACTTAACCTCACCTTAACCCAACCCATTCTTAATCTAACCTAACCTCACCTTAACCCAACCCATTCTTAATCTAATCTAACCTAACTTAACCTCACCTTAACCCAACCCATTCTTAATCTAACCTAACTTAACCTCACCTTAACCCAACCCATTCTTAACCTAACCTAACCCTCCACAGGTCATATTAGGGTGTTTAATCAGCAGGTGAACTAAGGTGAAGGGTGTCTAATTATTCAGGTAATCCACTTGTAATGCAGTAACACTCAAGACTGACTTAGAATACTGTCTCTTATCAGGGCCGGTTAGTGTGTGTGTGTGTGTGTGTGTGTGTGTGTGTGTGTGTGTGTGTGTGTGTGTGTGTATGTATGTATGTATGTATGTATGTATGTATGTATGCGTGTATGTATCTATCACTCTTTAACAACCAACCATCACTAAATAATAATAATAATAATAATAATAATAATCTCGCGTTCCTCTGTTATAGTGCCGAAACACACGTCTAGTGGCGACTCGAGTAACCTGTCTGTCACCATACCTCACCACACCTCACCCTCCTATTATACACAATTAGCCTACCGGAAAAAGGTGAATCTATTTTCCTTAAGAGTGTGGTGGAGGGGAGGGGTGTGGTGGAGAGGGAGAGAGAGAGGGAGGGGGAGCCTAGACCAGCCACACAACCTGCTGGAGACCAGACTTAATGAATGGTAGGGTGAGAGTGTTATCTGTACTGGTGTGATAAAACCAGAGGGAACCCCACTCACACGCCCACCACAACACTACCACACTTACCACACTCATGCCTACCACATTACTGCCACACTCACATCCCACTCCACCACACACACATACACACTCCATCATCTACCACACGCAACACTCCATCTACCACACGCAACACTCCATCTACCACACGCAACACCATCATCAACCACACGCAACACACTCCAGCTACCACACGCAACACTCCATCATCAACCACACGCAACACTCCATCATCTACCACACGCAACACTCCATCTACCACACGCAGTCACTTAAAATTGAATACAAATACTTAAACACCTCACATAAATAAACAAAAGACCTTCCTAACTACAGTCAACTCCACGGAGCAGTTGTGACGTGTAAGGAGCTTAAATTAACAGACCTTGTTACCTTCCACCCGTAGTTAGGCCTAAGAGTCCCAGATAATATGTCGTTATCACCATCCACCACGAGCGACTTGAACACTACCTCACAATCGAGTCCCGTTGGTGGCTACTCAACAAATCCTAAGAGTCATAAGCCTAAGTTCTTCTCTTTCAAGACACTTATACACAATAAAATAAGACTCGCAATAAGGTCTTTAATATCTACAGTGTCTTGATTCATAAGTTCTTTTACATCAAGGAAATAATTAAGAGTTAATGTAAGAAGACAAATCAAGTTCAATTATAACTCTCTAGGAACATTCCAGCCAACAAGTCGTCCCCACCTTCCCAGAGACGTCACAGTGATCAGATTTGGGGAGTATTGAATAACGGGGACTTGTGGAGCTGGACCCCCTACCCCTCCACCACACACCTACCACCATATGGCAATACCAACCCCCCCCTGCCTAACCACCACTGTTGCCACATTCCTCATATGTGTTAACCATTGAACATCCTCTCTACGTGAAGGAGATTTACCAACAATAAAGGTGAAAGATCATTAAATATATCATGTTTGTGGAGGGAGATAGGAGCACGAAGGTGATGGAAGATGGAGTAGAGGATGAGGACAGTGACGAGAGGTAGCATCCTGTAGGCCAGTGTGGTGGACTGTCGCTCTAAACAGGGGACTTAACTGGCAGTGTCGGCCTTGCCTGTCTACCTCACAACCTTTCAAAACCACACACACACACACACGTACACACACACACACACCTAATACTGTACCAACTTACAGTCAAACCTTCACCACTTAACCTAACCAGTCAGTACTATACCATCCAGTTAATAGCCATAAGACACAGCACACACACAGTCAGATGACAGGACCAGTTCAAAGCAGCAGCAGCAGTCAACAACAAGATAAACGATTCAATTCGTTAGTTATTTCAGGAAAGAAGATAATATCGTTGATAAATCCTCTAATATATACAATACATTTGAAGCACCTAACGAATCGCCCTTTTCCTGTAGCTTATTTCACTTCTAACACTAACCTAACCTAACACTAACCTAACACTAACCTAACCTAACACCAACCTAACACTAACCTAACCTAACCTAACACTAACCTAACCTAACCTAACACCAACCTAACACTAACCTAACCTAACACTAACCTAACCTAACACCAACCTAACACTAACCTAACACTAACCTAACACAAACCTAACCTAACACCAACCTAACACTAACCTAACCTAACCTAACACTAACCTAACCTAATTCTACCACCTCATATAACACTAAGTCAAACTACCTCGACTGTAATGTTTAATGGCGCTAGGTGTGGTTTTAGGCCTATGTGTCTATATCCCGGTATAAGATATATCTGCCACATGAATGAATCTTCACATGTCCCTTTACTCACACACTCATTGATAACTAGAGGATTGCTCAACGTCTAACCTTACCCAACACCCCCTCCCTCCCCTCCCTCTCCCCCCCCCCCCCACCCCCCTCCTTCCCATCCCCCCACACCCCTCCCTCCCTCACACCCCTCCCTCCCACAGTCAATTTCACCTCACGGTCCTATAGCCCTCATTAGACAGGTGTGACCACTATAATGAGGCAATCGTTATAGCTGTCATATATTGAGATTCATATAACGAAATAATCTATATTAAGACGGACATGTAATGTAATACTCTACAGCTCGACTTCCTTACAGTTTAACCGTCAAGATAGGTATTAATGATTACTATGGCAATGTGAAGCTGATCAATAGTGCTGATCATTATAATATGACTGATCAAAAGTAGTGATCAATATATAACTACCTGACGGGGATCACTGTGGCAGGATGTGATCGTTAACAGAGTCCAGGAAAGTGGTCACAGAGCCAAACATTACTACAGTACACGACTGGATTCAAGCGAGCAGCCATTTCAAGCAAGGTTAGGGGCCCGGGTTTGTTTGAGGGCCCTCGGTGGTTTGGGGAGGGGGTTTGTTTGAGGGGCCCAGCTTGCCAACAGAGGGCCCATGTGGCACTGGGCCAGCTCCGGTGAAATTCGCAGATGTCCTTCTTGCCTGAAGCACAAGAGAAACTTTACTCAAGGGTACATCTGTCTGCAGCACCACCACCATTCACCAAAAGTTCCTCACCATCACTCAAAAAGTTTCACTCAGTTTTATCTTTTTTTTTCCAGTTTCGTGTACGTTCACCACTACGATATGTGTTTGTTTGTTTGTTTTGTTCTTTTCATCAACAATCACTAATAACAATTTGTCCACTCGCTCAAATCTCTGGCACTGGCTCCGTCCTCACCCCGATAACCACTTGACAGCCTCCCATATTTTTTCCAACCAAGTGTGTAAGATATTCACTGGACACACTTTCCTTATCCAGCCCGCACCACCGTACATCATGGGCAGACGTCACTCATCACAGGCCCATCCTAGCTGCGCCACACAATTGCTTGACGAAGAAAGTTAAAACGTTATATAAATGAGCGCCAGGAAGTAGGGAGACGCCGGGCCCCCTCACTAGTACACGGGGCCAGCTCCAGCTAGCTACACACCACCTGCACTAGCTACTAGCACCCCCAGGAAGGTGGTGGTGTGTGTAGTAAAGTGTCTTGCTTCTCACCACTGGCAGGTCGCGGCGGCCGCACGGCGCAGAGCCTCACCACCACCTCCACCCCACACATGCTGCGTTTTAACCACATTTCCACCACTAAACACACTTGGCCACTGTTTTCTTGCGCTGGGTACGTTGCTTGAGGCACGATACTTGACGGGACTTGGCTGTTGAGGGCTGCAAGGCCTCGTGAGGCTTGAGGGATCACGGCCTAGAAAGCTTCAACTAGGTTTTTATGAATGAGATTGAACCGCTCACCATCATTGAATGAAATGGCTGCTCACTTAACACCACTCCACATCTCGCCTCTTTAAACTTACCTATTCCCACAAATTCTCATCAGTAGGTAAATCCAAAATCAACGAGAATACAGCAGAGCAAAGAAGATGAGGTTTTTGATAATCCAAATGTCGATATAATCCTTAGGAGCGCACGGCAGGAGTGTTCACCCTCTCACAGTTGGACCAAATATGGACCCTCAGCCGCGTCAGGCAGCCCAACCCAGGCGAGACACGGACGAGTCCACTCTGGTCGCGGGGGAAGACGCTCCTCCAACCCCTACCACACAAATTCTAACACTAAAGAAACGTATAAACTGTCATTCGCACACACTTACCACTATTTTCCCTATGTTGTATTTATAAAATACATTATTATGAATTACATTTACATGATAAATTCGATGTATTTATGCCGTAATAAATAAAATACTGCAGCATATATATGACCATATTTCTGAGTTCATAGGGAAGTATCTAAAGCAATTCTCTATACCAGAATAACAGCTCATACTAAGTGAAAGCCTGAAGTAAATTGTCAGAGTGAAAGACAAGGGAAATAAGTGAAATTTCCCATAAAATAGAAGAAAGGTGGAGAGCACGAGCAACAGGCGTTAGTTTCATTCATAAGAGCTGACTCCAGACTGCCGGGCGTATGATGCCTACGGGATATGGCACCAACAGCTCCACCAAAAACCCATTCACACTATTACCACACACTCTTAATCGTACATCTTCCACACAAACCTTAAGAAATACTCAATGGAAGTCATGTATAAGGCTTAAATGAACCCCACAACCCCTCGATATCCCCCCCTGCTAGCCAAAACAGGATGGGGGAGGAGGAGAGGGGGATGGGGGAGAGAGGAGGGAGTCGTTGCCGAGGTTCTTACACAAATAGTCGTACAAGGCTGGGGTCGGAGGGGTGCGCCAACTATTAATGCGCATATCTCTAAGGGGAAGGTTTTAAGAAGGTGCCTAAGTCCTTCCCCTGGAGGCTGACTAACCCATTCACCTAACCGACCAGCCCCCACCCCCCATCCCCTTTCACTACACCCATGGGGCACTCAACCCCCCCTTCCCTCCCTCCTAAACTCCCGCCATACATACACATTAAAGTATTACATAAGCTTAAATAGACATACCATTTACTTCATACATTTAAGAATAAATTAAAGGGTTCAGTCCTTTACTGTAAGCTAACGGGATGCACCAGAGTCTGTTAAATGTCATCTGGAACATCAAATAAAGAGGAAAAAAAAACAACAAAAACAAAAGAACAACATAAGTTCAAATCCCATTCAACAAAACGACCAGAGAATTCGATCTTTTTTCCAACCTATTTAAGTTAGAATTTAGAAATCAGAACCGATCTAAAGTCTTATTAAAACTATAAATACATAGAGTTTAGTTACGGGTGTGTTGTTGACATGAACACTTGTGCAGGTCACTCACCGAGCAGCCCCGAGTGTGTGTACAAGTGTAACTCTTATTCCCACTCAATGTTACTGAATGAATTAAGAGGAATGAATGAACGAGTGACTTATAAGAGTAAATAAATTGACGATAGTGGTAGCGTGGTTAATGTGGTGTTGTGGTTGTAGTATTGTGGGGGGTTGATGTGGTGGTAGTGTTGTGGGGGATTGATGTGGTGGTGTGGTGGTGGTGGTGTTGTGGTTGATGATGTGGTGGTGTTGTGGTTGTTGATGTGGTGGTGGTGTTGTGGTTGTTGATGTGGTGGTGGTGTTGTGGTTGTTGATGTGGTGGTGGTGTTGTGGTTGTTGATGTGGTGGTGGTGGTCGTCGTTTTCAATCTATGTATCTATCTACATGTCTGCCTGTCTGTCTGTCTGTGTCTCTCACGTGATGGAATGTCTGTCAGTCGTAGCACTCTGGTTATGCTATATAATGCGTCATGCGCGACTCTCATATGCGTCATACTTGTGTCTGTCGTTATGCGTCATGCGTCAAACGAACCTACACCATGCGTCAGACAGTACAGTTCCATACGCTAAGCTTTACGCTCAATTGCCACTTGAATTATGAGTCACGCACAGCTGTTTCATGCGTCATGCGCTAAGGTAGATTATAACTTGTCATAACGCAGTAGTGGAGGTCTTTGCGTCACGCCATTACGATCGCGTCAAATGCGTTATTCATGCGTTAAATGTTAAATATATTATTAATCACGAGTTTATATTTACTTCCACACATTTCTCGGTCTATCTATCTGTCTGCCTGTCTGTCTGTCTGTCTGTCTGTCTGTCTGCCTGTCTGTCTGTCCTTATCGGGTGATTGGCCCATATCAGCACTGTCAATCATTAACTGTCCATTCATCTAACTATATATCTGTCTGTATGTCTGTCTGTCTGTTTGCTTCTCTGCCTGTCTGTCTGTCTGTCTGTTTGCTTCTCTGCCTGTCTGTCTGTCTGTCCGTTCGTCACTCGGCAACGGAGGGTCACGGTGCATCCTGATAATAAGTACAAGCAGAGGTCAAAAGGTCACAGCTGAAGAGATTGTAAGTGTGGTTGACCTCTCTCTCTCTCTCTTTCTTGCTCTGTCTGTCTGTCTGTCTGACTCTCTCTCCTGACTCTTGCACATGGGGTAGAGGCGTGTCTGTATGGGCGTGTCTGCATGGGCGTGAGGGCGTCTGTATGGGCGTGAGGCGTGTCTGTATGGGCGTGAGGCGTGTCTGTATGAGCGTGAGGCGTGTCTGTGTGGGCGTGAGGCGTGTGTCTGTATGGGCAGGCATCAAAAGAGAGGTGGTGTAGGGGTAGTGGCGTGGTGGGGTAGACGTGGTGGGGGTGACGTGGTGGGGGTAGTGGCGTGGTGGGGGTAGTGACGTGGTGGGGTAGGTGGACGTGGTGGGGTAGTGACGTGGTGGGGTAGTGACGTGGTGGGGGTGGTGACGTGGTGGGGTAGTGACGTGGTGGGGTGGTGGGTGTGGTGGGGGTAGTGGCGTGGTGACGTGGTGGTGGGGGGTAGTGGGGGTAGTGACGTGGTGGGGGTAGTGACGTGGTGGGGTAGTGACGTGGTGGGGGTAGTGACGTGACGTGGTGGGGGTGACGTGGTGGGGTAGTGAGTGACGTGGTGGGGGTAGTGACGTGGTGGGGGTAGTGACGTGGTGGGGTAGTGACGTGGTGGGGTAGTGACGTGGTGGGGTAGTGACGTGGTGGGGTGTGACGTGGTGGTAGTGACGTGGTGGGGGTAGTGACGTGGTGAGGGTAGTGACGTGGGTGAGGGTAGTGACGTGGTGGGGGTAGTGACGTGGTGGGGTGGTGGGGTGGTGACGTGGTGGGGTAGTGTGGGTAGTGACGTGGTGGGGTAGTGACGTGGTGGGGGTAGTGGCGTGGTGGGGGTAGTGGTGGGGGTAGTGGTGAGGGTGGTGACGTGGTGAGGGTAGTGGGGTGGTGGGGGTAGTGGCGTGGATGAATGACGTGGCTAGGGGGGGTAGTAAGGGGGAAGGGGAGGGGTGAGGAGGGGAAGGGGGGGATAGAAGTAGTATATTGCACAAGGACAGATAAGAACACCCTATTATCTCCGCTATCCCTTGTTATCCTTCACTAACTCATAAGGACTTCGATAACGGTGTAGGAAATGACGCCGAGACGCCTTCAAGTTACGATAAGCGAGCGATGTGTTTGTGTATGTGTGTGTATGTGTGGGTGTGGGTGTGTGTATGTGTGGGTGTGTGTGGGGGTGTGTGTGGGTGTGGGTGTGTTTCTATACGCCGTGCAACTAAACACTATATAAGTTATCTTAAAAATAATTCTCAAAACACCAAAGTCAAATATCACAAACAAACAAAAAAAAACAAAGAAAAGCACAACAAAAAAACAAACAAGGAAAAAATACTACATCCCCCTAAAGGAAATAAAAATAACATCAAGAGCAAAAAGTCTTCAAAAAACTTCAAAACAACGAGTCGGTTCCAATAATTTTCTACCCTCATTGCACCATGGGTCGTCTACGTCATTTTCCTCCTTCACTGAGTCTTTCACTTACACACACACACATAAAACTCGACCGTAAAATGAAGTTGATGCAAGCCACATCCGGCGGCCGGCTGACTGATGTTGAGAAATGACCAACTCATCCCACACTCGACCGGAAGTGGAGGTGACGTCATTATAAAGCTGCTGAGGAAGGGGGATGGTAGTTAGGGGGTGAGGGTGGATTAGGGGTGAGGGTAGGTAGGAGTAGTGGGAGTAAGGGAATATGTACATGGGTGGAGGAAAAAGGAGGTGTAGGAGGGGAGAGAGATGGTTCAACATGTGATGGGGAGGGTGTTTGTGTAGGGGGTTGTGTGTGGTGGGGGTGGTTGCGTGCGTGTGTGTCACACTGATTAGAGCAGATTTGACTGGTTTGAGTGAGAGAGCTCCTGTGAACCTGACTCTCTCTCTCTCCCTCTCTCCACCCTTTCCTCTTCCTCTCTAATCCTTCCTATCTATTCTCCACTTACCTCTCCTCCCCTCTCCCCTCTCTTCCTCCTTCATTCGCCTCCCTCACCTCCTTCTCCCTCACCTCGCCCCTCCCTCCTAACCAGATATCATGAGGGCCGGCTAGGCAGGCTCCTGGAATGCCATCCATCCGGCTTAGCCAGAGACCCGGGTAACATACACCTCATTTTCTCCCCACCGCAGTCATTCATCCAGATAGAGACGCCATTTTGTGTGTGTGTGTGTGTGTGTGTGTGTGTGTGTGTGTGTGTGTGTGTGTGTGTGTGTGTGTGTGTGTGTGTGTGTGTCCTGTCCCTCGCACTAAGATGACACTGGGGGTGGAAATTCATTATTCTCAAGGGGTCAGGTCAAGTCAGGTCAAGCTGATAACAGAGGCTCACCTGATACCCAAGACCTTGATGGTCAACTTCCGGTCTGACCATTTACCGATTACGATCCTCAGTTCTCTTCACATGACCTCAGCTGACCTGACTTAGCCTCAGCTGACCTCACCATGGCCTCACTTACACAGGTTAATATCGCCACCTGTCTCTCTTGACCTTAACATAAGAACATAAGAATGGAGGAAACTGCAGCAGGCCTATTGACCCATACTGGACAGTCCCGTTTACACCCAACCCCTATTGCTCATATATCCACCCAACCTATGTTTGAAGCTATCCAGCGTATTAGAGTTAATGATGATGTTTGGTAACTTGTTCCATTCATCCACTACTCTGTTTCCAAACCAATGTTTACCTATTTCGCACCTAAATCTAAATTTGT